GAGGAATAATTGTACCATCTTATTGTTTCTGTGCAAAGAGATCTACAGAGAAAGAAATAAAAGAAGAGGAGAAATCAATGATTCAATCTATTAATTAGAAGGAAAATCATGCTGAAATGTTAAGGAGTTCATCAAGATGCTGGATACATCTTAATTAGGTTATTAAAAAAAGGAAGTTAATTATCAATGTATCTTCAAAATTGTATACTTTCCTTTGGCTTACCAACTAAACTGAACAGCTACATTTGATCACTTTTAATTATTAGAAAAACCTAAAAATAAAATTTTTATTAAACTTTGTTTTTATGCCAGGAAAATTTTCTGTGGAATGAGCAATTCAACACTTTACTGCCTTTCAGTTATAATCCTCATTAGTTTCTATGATGTTGTAGTGACTCTACATTCTATATTCAAATCTGACATGAGGTTGGATGATACTCTGCCATTTCTGTGGCCCAGGCAATAGGAGTGGGCTGGCAGAAAGATGAATCTTACTCTATATTAACATTTGCACATGGCCACACTAGAAAGCCATCACTGGATTGATTGCTGCAGAAATTTCAGGCATAATTAAATGGATGGGATGGGAAATAAAGGGCATTCCTCTCAGCAAGACTCACCATAGGAAGTGTGTCTTAAACAGGGAAAAGAAACATATTCAAGAGAGCTTGCATTTTGCCTTGAATCAAGGGGCTTGCCATTAAAGAAAGAATTTTCTGCATAGAAATTCCTGTTTTAAAGAGTCGCATACGTACTCATGGTGTGTGCATGTGTTTGTGTATATGAACAAAAAGAGAGGGACAGTGTGTGTTTATACACTGTCATTGTCATGCTGGTATCAAGCCATATAAAAGCTCTAGGAGTCATACCGGGATTTTGCAGTCCAGGCAACTGTCGTCTTCCCCCCAAAAAAACACCACAATGGCCACTGGGTTTCAGAATATTGGGGGTCTCCATGTTCTAGGGACAGATCATGTGCTTACTGTCCCTAAGGAAGTCAACAGTTGTCCCCTGGCCTCTGTCCCACCACCCTCACATCGCCTTTGCTCCACTGCTATCCCTTTTCTTACATAGAAGATTGGGGGGAATCCCTGGAGTAGGTTATAATAGGTTACCGGAGGAAATGCTTCTATTTTAAAAGAAAGAGCAACAAGAACAAGAAGATTTCACTGGCTCTATGACACTCCCTCTGACAAGCTGCTGTGCAGAAGGCAAATCTACTGCTCCTGCCGCCTCCACATGTATCTGGGAGAGAGCTGCACGAGAAAACCCTCTGTGCTAAAGGCTTTTCTATTCTGGAGATGCAGCTCGTGAGGAGTGGCCAACCCCCCACAGAGAAAATGAGACGAGGCACCTATATCTGAACACTCTCTTTTCTCCTTCTACTTCATCCACTTTATTTATTTATTTTTTAACAGATTCAGGGGGTACAACTGCAGTTTTGTTACATGATATATCGCGTAGTGGTGAAGTCTGGGCTTTCAGTATACCCATCACCCAAATAGTGTACAGTGTACCCAACAGGTAACTTTTCATCCCACAGCCCCTTCCTGCCAACCCCCCTCCACCTTTTGGAGTCACCAATGTCTATTATTCCATTCTGCATACCCACGTGTACCCATTGTTTAGCTCCCCCTTAAAAGTGAGAACCTGCCATATTTGACTTTCTGAGTTACTTACTTCACTTATATTCCAGAATAATTTTATGAAAAGTCACTTACAGGATCCAGTAAAACAGAAGATCCAGAAACCCTCCTGGGCAACATACCATAAACAGTGGAGAGATGTGAATTGCCTTCATTCTCACCCGCCTCTTGGCTATGTTCTCAGAAGCCAGGGAGCCTCGGGTACTTAGGGTTATCTTTATTTGAATTTTAGCATATGTTCAAGCTATAATCCTAAACTCTTGACTGGGCTACTAAAAATAATATGACTCCTGAGACAAATAATGAGTAATACTCTGAACAGTGCTATAGGAGAGGGAGGAGAATGTTTGCAGCTGAGATTTGAAAGAGAAGAAGAATCAGGGAGGGAGAGAGATCAAGAATGACTGCAGGAGCTGATCTAAGAAGGACACTCTGTCCAGCTGTCTCTCATTCTGTCAAAATGAATGAGCATTAGGAACAAAGGTGCTTCAGAGGTTCTCAGAGAATGGCCCTTTGGAAAGTCTAACATTAAGAAAGAGCAATCTGAAATGATTCTTAAAGTTAAAAAATAGCATCCAGGGGAACTGAATAAAACCATACCTGATTCAACCACAATTTATTCTCATAAATAGGAAACACAGATTAATTGGGAGAGGTGTAGTTCCGATTTGAACAGTTGGATGATGTCAGTGCCACGAAAAAAAGACAAAAAAAGCCTTCGCCCTGGGACGAAGGCTTCTCATACCTTCTGAGAATCAGGAACAGCCTAAATAAATATACTCTAGCCTTTTTAGCACAGACCATGAAACAAAGCCCTCACCTTTTTTATCACATTGGAAAAGCTGGGAGACTGCTGTATTTTCCTCATGTTCCTTGTGAGAAACTCCAAATTAAGCTATGAATAAAGAGCACCAACCATCATTCAGCAGGCATAAACAAAATCAATAAAATCAGTGGGATTATTCTGCAACTGGCCTCAAGCTGGACAGCGCCTAGGTGGCAATTCCTGAATTCTCCCAAGGGAACTAATTCAGATGGTATTTATTCAGGTATATTTTTGAGTTAATGTAATTCAGATGATTTTCCAAGTTTAAATAATCTTTATAAAGTTTATTTGATTTTCATTGTTCAGAAAAGTGAAGAAAAGAGCAGGCTTTTTCATCCAAGTAAACAACGTTGACTTAAAGGGGCAGTTGTCTTAGGATTTTAAAAATGAGAAAAATAAGCTCTCCCCTAACTCTATATATTAGTTGTAAACTCTCTAACCAAAACAATATACTCTGATTATTGTGGCAGCTGTCCCAGAATATCTTTCAAAAATTTATTATTCATTTTTTTATATTGTATCAAGATTTAAATTTGACATAACTATAGGAACTCTCTTTCGTCTTTCACTTCAAAATGACACTCCATGAATTGTCTGTCTAACATAATAATAATTATTATTATCATTATTATTATGTTGTATAGTGGGGGAGAGTCTCATATTTCCCCCAAACACTGAAGATTGATTTTTAAATCAATGATCTGCCGGCAAGGGATGAGTAGGATGGTCTTCTCTTGAAGCATCAAATTAGAGTTTCCAAGGTCATCAGAGAACAATAAATCATTGGGAGAAATTGATAACCTTACACAAAACTAGTCATCTCAATAGTTCATTTCAACAGTACAGCTATAGGTGCCAACAGGTTCAGGAAGTACTATGTTAAGAGTTAAATTTTGGGGAAATGGAGATTTTCTACAGTCAAGATGACCACTTTAGGGATAATGGTGAGTAGAGAGGGGCTAACTCTTGCCCAGTTTTGAGCACTTGTCCCAACCAATGACATTAAATTCTGGTCAGTGGTGAATCCAGTGAGAAATTCGACCATTCATAAATAACCTAGCTCTCCCTAGAAGTATGACCCATGATACAAAAGATTTTATTTCACCTAATCTCCAGACTACACTAAGGTTTGGAGTTTGGCTCCAAACACAGCTGCATCTGCTGTGGGAGACAAGGACAAAATTAAAAGCTCAGGAGCTTATCAAAAGGTATTGAGGTATTTTGGCAAGAGAATGTAGTTCTCCATGGGAGGGACAGAAGTCCTGAGAAAAGTCATTGGTTTATTGGAGACCCAAAGGAAGAAATGGGTTATTTTTTTGCCTATGCTATAAAGCAAATCACAGTAAAGTCAGAATCTATGACCTACTATGTATGTAAAAAAATCAGTTGGATAAAATTTAAATTCTAGTTATTAATTTCAGCAGCTCTTCAGAGGATGTTCACTCAACTTTATTTAACAAATATCTTTAAGTACCTGAGCTATGTACTATAGTAAGCTGAGAAACAGAAAGAACAAGGGCATGAAAAGATTAATAATCCAATCAATGCTGATCAAGTGCCATATTAGGGAAATGTTGTGAGAAATCCTGTCCATGAGTCCTGAGCCCCCTAATGGGCTAAGTAATGATTTTTCTTCTCGCAGGAACTCGAAGTTAACAGGTATGACCATGTGCCCCTTGCCAGAGCTGAATTGCCTACCTGCAGTGAGGGAAGCGAAAGGAAAGTTGGCAAAGCTGTTTAAAGACCTTTTGTTGAGAAATCGTGCTTGCTGGTATTTCACATTTCTATAAATACTAGAGAGAGGCTTGTCCCTTTGCATCCCAAATAAGGCAATGGGAAATTATAATTGGATGCTACCATGGACACCCAGATTCTATCCAGGGGAATGTAAGTAGAAGTGATGAGAACACCCTTTCCCTGCTGGAACAATGTGTGGGGTTCCCTGTGGGGTCTGACTGTAGGCCCAGGGCCAAGCAACACTGCCTTTTCCAAGGCAGCTTCACAAACCCTGAGGTGCAGAAGTATATATATGTGCATTGAAAATTCTCACCTGTAGCTGCGGGCTGGCAACACTATAAGGGCTGTCTGTGGGGTACTTAGCATTGTGGTTGATGGGGAATAAGGAGAGAGTGTAAGCCTTTGGTTTCTCTGTTAATGTCCTGCAATTTCTATCTCATCAAGATCCAAAAGAATCCAAGGACGGTCTTGCCCTAAAGCGCCTGCAGAGATTGGGGCTTACAAAAATGAATAACAGCCCTTTGTTAAGGGCACAATCAATACACACCTAACAAGAAGTGAAGACACATATATAAGATTTGAAGATCTAATAAAAATAATCACAACACAAAGCAGGATTTGGTTGTTATTTAAAAACTAAAAAGAAACACATCATGCTATTAGAAAAAAAAAGAAGGGAGAGATTTCCTCGAAGATATTTGAGAAAAAATTAATAATTAATCACTAAGTTTTGAAATTAAAATGTTTCTAATAGTTAAGTATTTTCAAGAGTGGTACAAAAATTAGGAATAAAGCAAAATGGAATAAGTGTAGTATTTTCTACCTGTTATATAGTAAGCTGGCCTACAGGTGTGTGCATTAGTTCTCTCATCTATAAGGACTTAAGATGGAACCTAAGAGGGAAACATCAGTCTCCTTTCTACTTAGTGGAGAATCTTATGTGGATGACTTAACTGATGCCAATGCGGTGTTTTGAGATCCTCAGCAGAAATAGGGATGAAAACACATTATATTATTTATTCTTTTGTAAACAACATGCTTAAGAAGCACTGAGATTTTCTTTAATGTTATACTAGTCTGTGTATCTGCAATAGGAAAAGACATTACTCTGATGTACTCTGTTTTATATGAACAAATTTGCATTATATGAGATCCTAGGATCTTGGGAAGTTTAAAATACATTTTATAGATGGCAAAATATTTAAGGCTATTTTATTAATTTCAATGGAAAATAAATGTTTAACATAGGTAAAATTATAGGCAGACACTTCACTTAAGAAGATGGTGGTATAACAATAATTAAAATATCTCTTACCTTCAAGAAGCCAACAGAGATGAGGTAAAAAGTTGCCAGCAAATTAATGCAGTGAGACTCTGTAGCAGACACATCTACAAATGAATGTAGCAGCCAAGGAGGAAAAGTAACTAGAGCTATCAAAAGATTCAGGAAAGAGTTTGCCAAGAAGGTGATATTTGAACTGGATCTCATAGACAGAGTTTTCTGTGTAAAGGTTCTGGGGCAAGGAAAGACCAAGCAGATGAACATAAAGGTGAAAGTTCAGAGATGTCAAAGCAGTCACAGAATGCATGCAAAATGCTGCACATGGCTGGAGCTTAGGTTGGGGATAAGTTGGGCAATGACAGCTAAACAAGAGATCAGTGCCCTCATTGCATGGATACTCAGTCGTTTCTTTAGATTTTTATTTTATGGCCCCCAAGCTATTTTTTTCTAAGAATATTTGCACATGGTCTCATTTTAGCCATGATTTTTCAACTGCTCTAGTTTACATGATAGTTTGAAATAGTGTCCTACATAGTTCACTATCTAAAAATCAAAGCACATATATTTATTTCCCTTATATATAGTTTACCCAACTTCATAGTTTATCCACACGCTTAACTTCAAGGTGATTAATTTGGCACAGCCATCAGACACTGAATGCTAATTATTTTCACTGCCTCCAAGGGGTTTGTTACTGCATATTTACAACAGACTTTCTGTTGAATAGTTTAGCAGATATCACAAACTAGTCACAACAAAGAGGGAGGGTACTTAATTTTTAGACTCGAAAGTTCAAAACTAATTTGGATATAACAGAAATGTAATGAGGTCACAATGAATTGCAGTTGCTTCTGAGCCATAAATGACACACTTATCTAGACTTAGCTGACTCACAAATGTCAACTCTTCATCAGAAGGGACTTCATATCAACACACATATACATTATTGCCAAGTCATAAATGCCAAGATTGAAGATAATGCAATTAATATTTGTTGAGTGAGTCATATCTGCCAGGCACTGCTGTAGAAGATGGAGATACAGCAGCGAGCAAAACGAAGTCCTAGCTCTCAAAGACATGGGTTCTATGCAGAGTAGACTGCCAGAATGTACATGCACCCATATGTCCATACACAAAATGGGGTAAGGAGAACGGAGAGTGATGAAGGTATGGATACTATGTTCTGTTCAAGATCAGGGAAGGCCTCCTCAGGAAGGGAAGACCTGAAGTATGGGAACGTGCCAAGCAGCAGAAGCTAAAGTCACGTGGTATGGACTGCCTACAGTGTAGGGGGACCAGCAAGGAGGCCAGTGTGACTGGAGCAGAGTCATGGAGGGGAAGGTGAAAGAAGGAGTATCAGAGCAACAGCAAGGCCCAGGTCGTAGAAAGCCTTGTGAGCTCCGGTAAGGAATTTGGATTTTCTCTGAGTGAGATGAGAAGCCCTTGGAGGGTTATGAACAAGAAGAGGTATGATCTAATTTATGTTTTAAAGTGATCACTGAGGCTAATACGGAGAGAAGAGCCTATGGGAGACGAGGGTGGAAGTGGGGAGGTATTGCAGTGATTCAGGGAGATGAAGGCAGTTTTGTCTCAGATGGTAGCGGTGGAGATGTGTAGGAGATTAAAGGGCTTGGCTATAGATCTGTTTAAAGTCATGAAAACTTGAGAGCAGGGCTTTGATCTACTTTATTCTCTTCTGTATCTGCAGGTTCCAGAACAATACCAGGCACATAGTGGGTACTTAATCAACATTTTTATAACATGGAATGAAGGTAATAGCTGGGGAGAGAAAGAAGGAGTCAATGATGGCTCCAAGATTTTTGGCCTGCACAACAGCAAAGTAGAAATGACACTTGTTGAAATGGTGCAAACTGAAGAGGAACAAGTTTGGGGGTGGGAATGGAGAGTTTGGCTTGGGCCCAGATAAGCAGACATAAAAGTCTAGAGTTCAGACTCTACAGTTCTACAGGTCAGGATTAAGGTGAACATTTGGGAATCTACAAAATGCAGAAAATATATAAAACCATTAGACTGGATGATTTCACCTAGGGAGTAATGTAGATAAAGAAGAGAACCAGGCTCTCTGAGGAACACCAACATATCGTGGTAGCTAGGATGACGGAGCATCTGAAAACAAACAAACAAAAAAAAAAAACAACCAAACAAACAAAAAAAACAACCAAAGCAGGAGAAAGAGATCCAGAGAGGGTGGCCCAGTAGGAAGAGAAGGGAATCCATCACTCAGGAGGGCTCCCTGGCTATGCTAGTGTGGTGATGGGTGAGATCTAGACTCGACCATGGAAGGAGGATTGTTATCTTTACAACAGAGAAGCAGAGATGAATAAGTGGGAGAATTGAGTAGAGGAAATCTTTTGAAGATCCTTTTCTTTTTTTTTTTTTTTTTGTCAATAGGAGAGAAAAAAAACAAATTGTTAACCTAATGGGAAGGTGGACAAGGGAATAGTCCAATAATAAGGAAAAAATC